TCATATATCATACTATAAAGTTACGCAAGGGCAATTTTCTCATTCAATTTTTACAATGTATGCATTATATTAAAGTGATTTCGCACAAAAACCCTAAAACATTTGTAAATGTTACTGTGTTATTGATATAATTTTACTATCTATATGTTCCGCTCCTTCAATTTAAACTATCTTTGAATTTGTCAACTAAAATGATATTTTGTCAGAAACATCTTCCTTGAAGTGAATTATTTGTTACTTTTTTAAATGCCATAATACATTGAACTATCCAAGAAAAGCATTAAAATTTTATATAATACCAATTTATACAAGGGTGCCGTAGTCACAAAATACGCCCGTTTACGAAAGCTTTAGATGGAGATGGGGGCATTATGGATAAGTGTTATCTAGCAAGCAAGTTTTTATTCTTGGCACTGTGTTGTTAAATGAACCTTAAAACAAATCAGTATGGAAGATATGCACAGGATGTGTGACCTTGGTCGCAGGGACCTGAATTTTATGCACGGCTTTCAGCCTCACAATGATGAACATTTATATCTAAATCCCTCTATGTATGTAGAAGTTTTGCTCCAGACAAGCGTTTTTCTATGAGCTCTAACTGTGACCTTAACCTTTGACCTAGAGACCTGGTTCATGTGCAGGGCACTACGTCTCATGGTGGTGAACGATTCTATAAAGTAACATTAAAATTCATCCATGCATGTAGAAAATATGCTCCGGACAACATCTGGATATCAAATCATCTCCAGTGACCTTGACCTTGCAAATATTAACCTAAATTAAATGTGTCACACCTGTAGTCATGATAGTTACCATTTGTACAATCCATCAATAAATGATGACTAAATGGTCCCTATACACATCTTCAAATTTTTGTCTGAATTTTGACCTCTATGAGTAACCATCTTAAGTGACCTTGACCTTGCATATATTGACCTAAAGTACATGTGTCACAGCCGTAGTCATGATAATGACCATTTGTGTTACAATCCATCAATAAATGATGATTAAATCGTCCCTATACACATCTTCATATTTTTATCTAAATTTTGACCTCTATGTGTGACCTTTACCTTGGCTGCAGGGACCTGAATTTTGTGCGCGACACTCCACCTTACGATTGTGAACATTTGTGCCAAGTTATATTGAAATCCCTTTATGCATGTGGAAGTTTTGCTCCGGACAAGCGTTTTTCAATGAGCTCTCAGTGTGACCTTGACCTTTGACCTACAGACCCAGTTCATGTGCGTGACATGGCTTCTCATAATGGTGAATATTTCTATGAAGTTTCATTAAAATCCCTTCAGGCGTGTAGGAGATATGCTCCGGACAAAATCTAGATATTCATCATCTTTAGTGACCTTGACCTTGAATATATTGACCTAAATTATATGGTTCACAGCCATAGTCTTCATAATGACCCTTTGTGTTACAATCCCTCAATAAATATGGCTAAATGGTCCATATACACATCTTCATATTTTTATTTGAACTTTGACCTCTATGTGTGACATTGACATTAGTCGCAAGGACCTGAATCTTGCGCGCGACACTCCGCCTTACAATGGTGAACATTTGTGCCAAGTAATATTGAAATCCCTCTATACATGTGGAAGTTTTGCTCCGGACAAGCATTTTTAAATGATCTCTAAGTGTGACCTTGACCTTTGACCTAGAGACCTGGTTCATGTGCACAACACTGCTCCTCATAGTGGTGAACATTTGTATGAAGTTTCATTAAAATCCCTCCATACATGTAGGACATATGCTCCGGACAAAATTGGACGCCGCCCGCCCGACCGCCCGCCCTCCAGGGGCGTTCCCATAATACGTCCCGTTTTTCAAACGGGCGTATAATAAGGTAAATTCATAAGTCACTTTAAATAGTGGCATAATAGTTTCCTGTAAACGTCGGTACCGTATTTTGTCTAAGGTTTTGAACGACCGGGTCACGTGAATCAGTGGGTGGAGCAATCTCTTCTCTGGCGTTATGTCAATTAGGGTTGTCTGTTTATCTTGTGTAATGTCAATACAAAGTTTCACAAACTTAGGCTTAATATTTCAAGTTGCTGACCTTCAGAGGACAAAAATATACATTTCTGGTTTAATGTCCCTTTAATGTCATCTAGTAAAACAACGTTGTGCTTCTTTTTATTAAAGGCAAGTGGGACAATGGTGCTGTGCCGCACAAGTAAGAATTTGTCGTGAATAAAAAATAGAATCACATTTAGATGACAATATTCAATACAAACAAAAACAAATTTGACAGCAACATTAATTTTTCTCTTTTACGACCAGGGGTAATGTTAATTACAAAGAGGGTTTGGCATTTTACTAGTTTTCCGGAGAAATCATGTGTAGAATTTGTCCAGATTTTCAGTTTCTTGTGATTTTTTTTATTTTTATTTTTTGTTGATTCTCACATGATTTGAGACTTTGCAAAGCACCGATAGTTTTAATCGCTGTGATTTTCAGTAACCCTATATGCATTGAATTATTTTTATTTAACGAAGCATACAGGATGTACTGCTAGATCATATAGTACAGTAAATTCACGGAATATAGTGGTTATGATATTTCATGCTGTTGTCACAGAAACATTTTCTACGGCTCTTAAATTCGTGAATTGTATACTTTTGCACACAAAAAATATGATTGACGCAAAACTATTCTGCCCTTCACATGTACAAATATGAAAAGAATCCTAATCCGGAAACCTTTTCTTCTGGTCCTGACGAGTTCGGAATAATATATACATATATAATCTATATATATGTAGATTTAAAGGATACTGGAAAAAAAAAATTTAGTAATAATCCCTTCATCTCACGATCGAATATTCCCAATTCAAAGGAGGGAAAGCCTATTACACGAACTCAGGGTAAAAGTTTAGTTTTAAATTTCGTTCAGATTTTTAACGTGTATTTATAAGTTCAGTTCTTAATGTAACTTGGCAAAAGTGATTAGATATGTAACAAAAGATTTGAATCGTTGGTTTGGTCTGTGGTAGCATATGGAGCAGTTATATGGGGAAACAAATCGTTTTCATGTATTGACTCATTTCAACACCGTGCTATGTGTCTTTTCATCATCATCATTATAATTATCTCAAGTGATTGCATCACTCCGCAAGGAGTATACTCGCAATTGGGTAAAAAATGTATATACATACGCAGCAGGCAGGACTGACTGTTTTCCAAAATAAAAATAAAAAGTTTCCCTATTTGCAGTTTCTATTAAAAGAGTAAAAACAACTCCGTGATTAGTATTTTATACGTTTGCTGGCCAGAGCTGATTGGAAAGCATCCAGGCAGGTCTGGTCAACAACGTCTTGCGGCAGCTTGTTCCAAAGCTCGATGGTTGCAGGAAAGAAACTATTTTGAAAGATGGAGGTGCGTGCTGTGATTTGGCGGAAGCGTTGGTTGTACCCTCTGACAGTCTTAGCATTGATAAGTGGAGATTCTGGTATATTATCCACAAGGTTGTGCATTATCTTAAAGAACATAGTTGTTCTGGTGTTGTTGCGCCGGTGTTGGAGGGTGTCCCATTTGAGGTCGGTAAGCATGTCGGTGACGCTGCTTGTTCGCGTGAAGTCTTGTTTCACGAATCTTGCAGCGCGACGTTGGACCATTTCTAGTTGGTTGAAAAGACCCTCAGAGTGAGGGGACCAGACAGATGAGGCGTATTCAACAGTAGGTCTGATATATGTCTTGAAGGCATTAGACTTTGCGCTTGGAGGGCTAAATCGTATGTTTCGCCTGATGAATGACATGGTGGAGTTAGCCTTTTTGGTGATGTCATCGATATGTTTTTTCCATAAGAGGAAATATTCTGTTCTGTTCTGTTCCATAAGAGGTCTGAAGAGATGGTGACTCCAAAATATTTGGTATGATCTGCAGTGTTGAGTTCTTTTCTGTGGATGCTATAGGTGTTAGTAATAGGTTTTCTTTTTGTGGAGATGCGGATGACTTCACATAGGTCGGGATTAAAAGTCATCTGCCAATCATCCTCCCAGGGTTGGAGACTATCAAGGTCATGTTGGAGTTGGCGTGAGTCCTCAGGGCTACGGATGATTCTGTACAGGAGGCAATCATCGGCGAAGAGTCGAGCCGTGGATTGGACTTTCGATGGTAAATCATTGATTTCTTTAAGCCAAGAAAATAATAGGGCCAAGGACGCTGCCCTAACGGACACCAGAGGTGACAGGTGAGGTAGCTGAAAAGGAGCCCTCAAGGATAACCTGTTGTGCGCGCGACGAGGGAAAGTCTTCAATCCAGGAGTGGGTTGTGCCTCTTATTCCATAATGGTCCAGTTTCTGAAGGAGACGTGAGTGTGGAACTTTATCAAATGCTTTTGAGAAGTCAAGCAGAACAGCGTCAATTTGATGGTTGTTATATATTCCTTTGGCTAAGTCATTGATGGTCATTAGTGGTTGAGTGTCACAGGAGCGATTTTTTTCTGAACCCATGTTGGTAGTCAAAGAGGATGTTGTATGAGTCAAAGTGAGATGATGTTGCTGAAGATGATGTGTTCCAGTACTTTGCAGGAGACTGATGTTATAGAGATAGGTCTGTATTTTGATGGTGATGAGCGATTTCTTTTTTTGAAGACAGGTGAGACAATGGCGGTTTCCAGTCAAGTGGGTTCTGACCTTGATCCAGAGACAGTTGGAATAGCTTTACTAGGCCTGGAGACAACTCTTCTGATGCAAGTTTGAGGAGCCTAGTGGGTATCTTGTCTGGGCCTGGAGCCTTGTGTGGCTTTAGATTCGACAGAAGCGTCTGGACGCCCTTAATCGTGACATGTATAGGGTTTAGAGTTGGAGGAAGAGTAGGGCGTTGAGCCATGTCCTCTTTGGTGAAGACAGAGGTGACCTGGTTGTTTAGAAGTTCAGCTTTCTGTTTACCATCGCTGTATGCCAAACCGTCCTTCTTGAGTGGAGACACACCAAAGTTGTCTTTTTTCTTGGATTTGATGTAGTTCCAGAAGACTTTTGGGTTTTAATGGTCTGGCTGGAGCATGTCTGATATGTGGGCATCGTGGACAGATCTGCTTAGGCGCTGGGCTTTCCTTTTGATATCTTTATATTTTGACCAGTCAGAAGTGGAGTTTGAGTTCTTGGCACGCCGGAACCACCTTCGTTTCAGTCTGGTAATTCGCCTTATATCCCGGTTGATCCATGGCTGATTGAATCTTTGAGCACTTTGGCGATGTGGGACTTCATCTTCAATGATCTTTTGGCAGCCATTTTTGAAAAAAGTCAAGATGTAATTAATGTCTGAAGATGGGTTGATTTTCTCTTGTAAGGTATCTGATAAGGCTTTGCTTTTTTCTTTAATGGTATTGATGTTGGCCTTCCCCCACATGTACAGGGTGTGCTTTGTTGGTTTAATACGTGTGGCACACATGTTGGTGTCAACAAATATGGCGTGGTGGTCGCTTATCCCTTGGGTTGTTGTACAGCGGTTGACAAGTTGTGGTCGATTAGTGAGGAAAAGGTCAAGTATATTGTCGCCTCTTGTAGGGAAGTCAACAATTTGTGTGAAGCCTAGTTCAGGTTCTAGGAGAAGAAATTGTTCATTTATTGCTTTCCTGTATTGGTGTCCATTGATTGCGTTGTTTGACCAATTAATATCTGGTAGATTGAAGTCACCTGCAATCCAAATAGTAGCATTTTTAAATTTATTGCAGATGTGTGAGATGGCTTTGAATAGATGTCTTGAATATTCTTCATCATTATTAGTTGGTCTGTAAGCTGAGCCGATGATGAGGGTCTCTTTATTGATGCATTTAATTTTCTGGAATAGGATGTCACATGGAGTGTTGACTTCGACTGGTTCGCTGACAATGTTGTCCTTAATAAGAATTAGGCTCCCTCTATAGCTATCAGGTCTATCCTTACGGTGTATGGTGTAGTTGATGTTAGTTGGAAGAACTTCAGCATCATATATTGTTGGGTTTAGCCACGTTTCACAGCCACATATGATGTCGCAGCTGACAGATTCAAGGAAGTTCCAGAAGCTTGCTTTCTTTTTGGAGCTGCAGACACTCTGAATATTAATGCTGGCTAGTCAGATGTTGTTTGTGCGAAGTTTGTGCTTGAAATTCTTTTTAAGGACTAGAGCATGACGGATGGAAGTTTTCCTTACTATAAGTGCTGTGAGTTGATCTGGAAATATTGGATATGTCTGATATATTGACGCTTGATACGATCTCTAGTTCTGAGATGTCGCTGCTGATAACTGAATGTAGGCTGTTGCTATGGTTTGGTTGATCTATGTCAATCTGGTGGACATAGACCGAGTCGAATAGGCTTGAAGAGAAGTTGGGGATACCACAAGAAAAACATGTAAAGCTCATATCGTTGTCAGATTTAGTGAATGGCAGGAAGACAGCATCATTCAGCTGTATACACTTAGCATGGTACCATGTTTCACACTCATCGCAGCAGATAGCCTACTGATTCCAATGGCAGCCTTTCTCACAAACGCCGCATGGGAACTTAAACTTGCGCTGTTTTGGTCCAAGGTTCAGTTGGGTATCAGATGATCATAGATTTAGTAGAAAACTGAGGAAGCGAAGGTGTTGTTTGCGTTTGAAGAAGATACCTTGGCCACATACAGGTTGCACTGCATGTAGTGAGGGAATGGGGTCTGTGTTGCACAAACTGGCATATGTGAAAGTTTCCGACACCACGGAGTCCCTATCAGCAGTCCCTATGTTGTTTACAGACACATGGTTGAGTGTACTATTTAATTTGGCAAATATTGCTAAAACCAAAGGTAAAAAGTCAGGTTTAGAGATCAGCATAATTCTTACCATGTAGTTCGTTGATTTAATGAATGTTTAAGACGAGTTAATGGACATACTTTACAAGATAATGCATCAACAGTTGTTTGTTGTTCAAAAAGAACGAGTGCCTGATGTTGACAATTTGCCGGTGAACAGATGAATTTTGTCTCGCGCGATAATGCGCAGCCGGTGCTCCGGTAGGAAATTCCTCTTGCAAATGGTGCACGAAGGAAAAATCGTGTGGTGGAAGCTGGTCTTATCGGTGGGGCTCTGGATTTCTATTGAGGAATGTTTAAGGAGTGGAATAGAACCTGATAAGCTTAAAGAATAACGCTTGATCTTGCTGCGATTTACGATTTGGAATAATTTTTCAGAGAAGTTTTGAAAGTCCGCCTGACTACTACGCATGCGCAGTTGATCCAGTTCCTAGGGCATCCCGTTTCTTTCCGTCAGCAGCCCTGATAGGCGACATGGGCTGTCAACCAACTTTCAGTACACAGATGATAAGTGTTCCTAATTTTTGTCATATACTATGTATGATGCCTAGATCCAAAACAATCTACAAAGTCTTCATGTATGCTAATTCAAGATGTAAAAACTGGTGTTTCAGACCAAAACAATTTTTTAATGATCTTGGATGTACAGAATTTTGTAAAATGAAAATATGGTATCAAAAAAGCTATGTTAGAAAAAGTTCAATCTAGAACAATGCAAAGTTTCATTGCATAATGGAATGTTTACATCTGGAAGAAGTGGAAGCGGGTTCGGTCGCAACAAACTACGTCCATATAGGCAGATTAAGACAACTTTTGGACCAGAGGAATATTGCAAAATCATAATTCCGCGTTGCCAAAGGTCCGCTTTTGCTAAGGTCAGATGTGGAAATGCACCACTTAGAATAGAGACAGGTAGATGTGAACGCCTACCAGTAAATGAAAGGCTTTGTCCTTTTTGTAATGACAAGGTAGAAAGTGAATTTAATGCTGTAATGGAATGTTTTATCTCTGAAGATATTCGTGTAGATCTATTTGAAAAAATGAGTGTCAAAAACCCACAATTTCACACAATGACAATAATGGAGAAGTTTACTTTTATGTTCTCAAATACGAGTTGTGTACGGTATATTGCCAAAACCTGCTATGACATACTAAAGAGAATGGTAACTTTCCTTTACAAATAAGAGTGTACAAATTGCTCTCTTTTTCCTTTTTCTGATGTGTCTTTTTATATGTTTTTATTTTAATTTAAAATATGTACATTGTATATATAAAAGAATGATAGGTAAATGTTTTGCTGGAGTGTGGGTTTTAAGATAAATATTTTAGCCACACTAAGACTGTGGTCTCACATCAATATCAATTCTTCAAAAGGTGAATATTATTTTGAAGTTTATATAGTCCTAGATAAATTTAATTGGACGGTATAAAGATTTATAATAAAACAGTCTTAGTAATTTTTATTTGGCAGGACATAAGTTTTAATGGCCATATTTATTACATATTGGACAAATATATGTTACCTCTGTATTAAACATCCATTGACTAAGCCAATATATTGTATGGATAAAACAGATCATCATGTAAATTATATTAAAGAAAATAAATCGTTGATATACTGTAGTTAGTAATGTTTTAAGATTGTAAAGTATCAAGTGTAATAAATGACCTACTTTCCAAGGTTGAGTTTAACGTATAACGGTCAATTTTTCTTCTTATCATTTGCATTTAAGCATTTTGGTATCATTTTATTCATTGTACCACAATGTAACCTTCTGGAGGAAAAACATGCAATAGAAAGAATTTATTGAGGTCATGTTCTTAAATTACAAAAACCTTTTAATTAATGATAATGATTATGTGAAATGTGTGTAGCTAAGGGGGTAAACTCCTCAGTGCATAAAAGAGTAAACTGCTCTGATATGGTCTGTGGACTTGTCTCCCTTAGAGGTAAAATAAATAGTCTCTTGTAATTCTTTTAGAATGGCTTTTAATGTATTTTATGTTTATGTTTTACGTTTTATATGCAATTTTATATACGTATGTAAGACTGAAATAAAGAAATTAACATAAAGGTTCAATACTTCTTTTTATACACACGAATATGGACAATACAATATGATGTTTATCACAAAGTTGTTCACAGTAAAAACAAATTGAGTCGGTAACAATTTGAACACCGCAAATATTATTATTTTATTATGCACATTACGCCATGATATACTTGTACAGTTATCACATAAGTATAATATTGTTTTTATTTATTTTTGTGCCGTGATAAATGTTATCAATAAAATATAAACAAACAATCAGACACTTTGTACGACATAACTACCTCCTTCAAGACAGAGATGTCTCCAAGAACAAATATCCTATATTTGCTTTAATAACAAATGTTTTTTTATCTGATTTCAATCTTATTTCATTTTTAGACCTTATATCTACTTGAAACATATTTGTTTTTAATCTGAATTGCTATTTAT